CTATTGTGAATATGTATTTGGAAAACCCTTTTATCTGAATCGCACCAACCTTTCCCGAGGTTTGGGCGTACAATGTACATGAGTAATTTATTTTTATTTACCTCATCCTTAAAATAATAATTAATTGCAATTTGCATAACACTTCCAGTGATTGATAAGGAATTATTGAAATATGATTCATTCATAATTGATTTTATTATAGTTATTCCATATGAAAATTTTACTTCATATTCTATGTGCAAAGTCCGACAGCAACTTGTGTATTTTAATTTTTTATCAAAATACTGAATTATGAGTAAGCATAATATGTATAACTTTGGTTATTCTTAGAAACAAGATAAACAGTGCATGCTAATTCAGTGATGCTAGAGTATTTTTGGCTGTTTACTTGAACAAACTGCCTAGTGTTTGCTCAGGGACATAGGCCGTTAGAATGGCTTGAAACTAGTCGAGTTCCTTGTCAAACGTCAAACAGTAAAGTGAGTAAGCCGAAAAACATAGTAATTAAATATTCTGTAGTTTTATGAAACAAAGATGTGAGTTCATGTATAAATAACACTTATTCTTTTTTCTTTGAACATGGTTAAGAGACATTTCTCTACCGACCCTCTGCTGATTGATTGTTCTACGCATTCTCAATGTATCTATTCCAGTTATTGTAGATTTTGCAGCTTTATTCAGTTCAGTTGGTTAATTAATAACAGAACTATCCAATATAAGCAACAATATTAGGTACTATCATCAGAACTTGATGAAATAATAATAATAACTAAAATAAAATGAAAAAGAGAAACAGATTTGGTTCACGATAGAATATAAAAGTGTTATTGGTATTAATTGCATGGTAACAACCTTTTACACACATTTATAGGAAAAACCAGCTTCCTCCAACGATTTCAACCGCATACCTAAGGGATAAAAACCCTATGTCTTAATCTAGGTTCAACTTTCATTCCGATACCTTTGGCCGTTTTGATATGGTTGAGTTACAAACACACAAACCTTTGCATTCATAATATTAGGCAGATTTTGTATATGGCTTATATTAAAATTGTTATGAATAAACAAATCTACTGATTGCACGGTTATTGAACCTGGCTATAAAAGACTTCTAATAATGAATAGGATTTATGCAATTAATTAAAGAAATATTATGTATGACTGTTTCTGGTCTTAAGACGTCGACTTCTAAATGATGAAGGAAAATATTGCTCAAAAACAATATAAGAAATGAAATCGTAAACAAGTAAAGAATGTGTGTCATAATAATAATAAATAAATGTAAAATATTCCTTGTTGTTCCCAAAACAAATTTTGCTTAGTTATAACACAGTAATAAGGCAAAATTATAATGAATTTTATGTCAGAAAAACAGTACTCAATTTCACTTTTTGTATCAAAAACATTATCATATTTTTTTTATATATTAGATTGGACTGACGTTTGACCACTATTTTCAATGTAGCACCCACTTTGCACCACTTCAAGGTCATATAAAAGTGCACCCTGTTACCATACACCAAGCATAATACTAGACTTCATGCTGTTATGAGGAAATATTGGAAAAAATCGATGAAATTAGAATGTGAAATATTATAATTACTTATATCTCATTTCCATTATGATTTAATTTTATCGTCATAGTGCTATAATAATTACTAAGAAATTATCTTTCAATTTAGTAAAGTTAAATAAAAGGTTAGCATAGTTAGCGGGCTTTCACATACATGTATTATCCTAGTACTAATGAACTTAATCAATTTAAAAGGAAAACCAATTTCTTTGAACTTGTCAATGACCTTACACCATGAACAATGTGTCATTCATTTTATTACAGTTTTAAATTGCATTTATTTCATAATTCCTGGTTAACATATTTATTAATTTCAATATAATCTCCATTATATTATAGACCTTATTTCCAATGTTTAGGGACTACTTTTTGAACTAAAATAAACTTGTTAAATTATCATTTTAATGTGTGTATAGTGTGGATTTTTATTGTTATTTTATTTTTCCATAATTCACAAATTGGATTCTATTTTTAAGCCATTGTTAAGCCTATGAATTGCCAATGCTATGTACGCCATTATTGTTGCAGGCATCAGGACTTTACTTTGTTACTTTTGTGTATTTTTAATGTTATATGTCACATCACAAATGTGGCAGTACTCCTTCGAATAAACTACTTTTGTATGAACAAATTTTGGGATTTTCGGTATGATATATTAACATATTGAATGACTGAGTATTACAGTTACACAATAACAGTAATGCACATAGTTCATATAAATAACATACAATGATACATATTACATACTATGCCCATCATTAAAACAACTTAATTAACTCGTCGAGTACCGGTTTTGTAGACACAATTACAGAACAATAGGTTGCGGTCACCGGTGACCGCTTGGTGTTTGACAGTTTAAATATAATAGAACAAACCTTAAGCTTGTAATGTCTAAATAGATTTAAAAGGAAATAATTAATAAGAATTTAATTATTGATTGTTCTTGTATTAATCATGTTTGTTTATTATAAATAATGACTTTAGCTGACTAATTAGTTCTGGGTTATAAAATGTAATATTCTGTGGTTTCACAATTTATGATGTTTTTATTATGTTTTTGCAATTATTAAGAAAAGGTTAAACAATGAATTAGTAATGCTTTCTAATGCTTAGTTGTCTTAATATTGCAGGATATAAAATGTATGTTAATTCCGGTTTAAAATTAACATACCAGTTGCTTCAATTTAACTTTCAGTTGAGAAAATCACATAAACATGATATTTCAAGGCACATACTTATTTTTAGGGTTACTTTCGTAAATGTATTACTAACCTGGTCATGTCATTAGGGTCAAAGGAGACCCCGATCCCTGTGTTCGCCATGGTGGTACCAGGACGTCAGAACTATACAGCAGGATACCTCACCGGGGCGCCCACATCACGAACAACACACCGGAAATGACCCTACTTATCACTTATCACCAACCCCACACGGATTCGCTGCAGTAATCACCACTACCACAAGATCACACAACAATCCTTTATCACTCCTATACACATTAATACCGACGTAAATTCTAATAAATTATAATTTGTTGTCATGTATCATGATTTGATGTTCACATCAAAACACATGTTTCCGCATTCGTGGCGCGCCGACGGAGCGTCGCAGTACACAACCGCACTGTCCAAACTAAGTTTGGGATGTATAAGTAAAAGAAATCTATAATTAAAACTGAATTATAAATAATCTTCCTCGATCACACACGCGAAGTTTCGCTGATGATGACGCATAGACAAATTTGCATGCTTTTTAATTTTTGACGCATAATCTTCTGGAACGGCCGTTGTCTATTGTAAAGACACTTGCACATAAATACGAAATCTACCGTTTTCTTCAGTTTTACTGAATTTGTCTAGTGGCAACATCGATTTCATTACACATCATCTTCGAAATTTTAGTCTATGGTTTGTGTCCATTGTTTTTCTACAATGTTATTTTTCTGACTGCTGCTGGTGGACGAAAAATTGGTTTCGCTGCGTCTAGTGTGAGTTAGTTCTAGTGTTCGTGTTCGATATTGTGATTTATTAGTAATAGATCACGAAGATGTCGTCACCGAGCGCTGGGAAACGACGCATGGACACCGATGTCATCAAACTGTATCCTTTCTTTGTTATCGTCATTACAAAGAACCTATTGCGTTCGAGGGCCACCATGTAAATATGTAGCTGTAGGGCCGTCAGCTGATTGTCACGACCCTTTATAAAATCAATATGGGGTGTGTTTTTAATAACATATCTTTGTTGCACACCCATGAAAAGTTATTAATAACATTTTATTTGAAGGTTCCTATTGATATAGACCTTTGACTATTTGTCTGGGTAAAGAGCGTGCATTCTTTTCACGTCTCCGTGGGCCTACGTATCTATATATAACGCGTTGATAAACTGCTAGGTAGGAGCGTTACGTTAACAGTATTCTTCCGTGTGTGCTGGTCGATGATATTTCGTAATTCGTTATGTAGGCCATGGTCTCGATTGCGCATTTTTTTTTCTCTGAGTTTATGGCCTTAGGCACACACAACGGATTATACTGTCTATTATGCGTAATTAAATGCTTGCAGGCTCTCAGTTCCTTTGTTACTGTTGTTGCTATGTTTGGGTCATTGTCAGTAAACAGGTTTTATTTGCATTAGAATTATTCCTTACAATTATCATTGATGTTGTATTTAAACATATGATTCATGAAACAACTTTGTTTTGGAACATTCTGATATGTTTTGCACAATATCTAAATATAACTCCCTCACATAGGGCTAAACAGCTGTAAATATTTACAAATGTTGGTCTCTGTATGTCATTAACTCGTCGAGTACCGGTTTTGTAGACACAATTATAGAACAATAGGTTGCGGTCACCGGTGACCGCTTGGTGTTTGACAGTTTAATTTACCAAAATGATTTTATTATTTTTAGCACAAGATCCATGAGGTAAGTTTAATTTTGTTATTTTTAAAAACAATTTCATTTTAAAAATATCATTTTGTTTATGTAAGTTGAAGTTTATTAAACACATTACATTAGGCCTGAGTCGTATGTGTGAATTAAGTTCCACTAATTTAATTCTTGTAACTAAAGAAAAGTTAATATCAGGTTCAAATTCAGCCAGCCCAGCAATTTAACATTCAAACTCTGAAATGTGTATAATTCATCTCATATTTACTTATTAAGTACCTGACTCAAATTCAAATACCTACATGTTATTAACTCATAAACCTTTTTAGGTGACAAATACATATTGTCAGTTAAGATAATTTTATCCAGAATACCCAATATATGCATCTAAAAGTCTTAAACGAAATAACAAATATTTGTTAGCTATGTAAAACTACTAAATATTAATTTATTATGCATCATTTTCTATAAATTACTTCTACTAATATCATAAACATTAATTAAGTTTCAGCTGCACATTATAATAACATGCTCCTTTACATTATACTTAAAACAAAAACATTGCAATTTGTCTATTTAGCCATGCCACACATATTTACAAAATGAACACTATACCAATGTCGTATAGCTGATTTTTCTTTGATCTCTGGGAAGAGACTTTTATTGTCATGTTGGTAGCATGTACCAGAACATTCCATACTTTGTTTTTTAACCAACATTATTATGATCTTTCTGCAATGCCAAAAAAGAATAATGCAGCAATGAACAAAATATAAGTACACCTTTTCATATATGTTATATTTTTTTCAAGATTCAAGACTTTGTGTTAAACTTTTCTATTTATCTTTGTTTTGTTTCTATTTTCTACTATTATTTTCATAAGGGTTTTATTTTTTCAAATATTAGAGGTTTACCCTGGGTATAGGGCTTTCTAGTTCCTCTACTATTTTGTCTTGACTTTATTCTATGCTGTTTGTTCTTTTTTTGTTACTTACTATCTTTAAAATTTTACCTATAGCAAAAAATTATCTTCTGTTTATTAAACTCAGATTTGATGTCTGTTTTTATCTCAATTAATATCCATTAGTTAATATTTAACTAAATACTAATTCAATAGGTACTTAAATCTTCAATATTAACTGGCGTATTTTAAAACATGTAAAAAAAATAATTCTCCATCACAAAACAGCGGCTAAATCCCAAAAATAACATGACACCATATTTATTTATAGAAAAGCGTAAAGAACCTAATGTTACGCGTCCGATTTTATCGTAATCACATAATGGACAAGGTAACAACACAGTACAAACGATAATATTCGAGTTCAACAACTTATGTATCTCTGTTCATATTAAGTCAATATAAATAGGTGTTAAGTACGTAAAAAGCATTATTTTCATTGATAAATGATAATAAGTAATTTTATATGATAGTCGTACTAATTGGTCACATGTTTCGTGAAGATATATAGAAAATAATAGTGACGTAAAGGTTGTTTTTTTAAAGTTCAAACTGAATTGATTTGCATGTGTGGTTTTCGTCACTCCGTCCATGTAAATACGGTTAATATTAAAAATCCTAATAAATATAAATTGAGATCACCAACTTATCGGCTGTACCTTTCAGAATGTAAAAACTGAGTCAATAGGTAATCAGAATCACTATCAGGAACTGCAAATCGAACACGAGATATCGTAATAAAACCGCAGTTTTAAATATTTGTATCATGACAGAACTGTAATTGAACTATTTGAAAATCAGTGAAGTCCAAGTTTAATATATCCGTCATTAAATCTAAATTACCAAGAAAGGTTTTAAAATTCACTCGATTGCTAACGAAAATAAGTAATTTCCAATTCTAAATGATAGATAAGATACCTAGCTATCTTCATTCAACTTTGAAAGTTTTCAGACAACCTCGAAATAAATCGGTTTTGCACGATTAAAACTATCGCAATGCGTATTTTGTGATACTAACGGATTTTATTTTCTAAAATAAAAATACAGAAATAACCTAATTACTATAAAAATTGATTTAATATTTTTAACATCGGTAGCTATCATACAAAATTATTTGTTTTTCAGATAAAATGATTGTATGAAAGTATAGTAAAACAATAAAAAACCCGCGAAAGCTTTGAACCAAATATGGCGTCAGTCGGCCATTTTATTTCGAACGTTGTTTTTTAAAGGCTAATTAGAGGCTACTTTGAAAGAAGGTTTTATAATGACTTTCTCCTCATAACAAAATGTACTACCAACGAACATTGTTTTTTGTTGTTTAAAAAATTAAGACGCAGTACCTAGATAAACATGTGTTATTTTTTGTGACCGTAAATATGGCGTGAATACACAATAATAAAAAACAGCTGTTATAATAGATCGAATAGGAGATGCGTTTTTAATATGGAAAAGAAAACGTTTTTTAAAAAGAAATGATAAAGGATTTCCATCTAGATATTTCATGCGTTTAAAGAACAGTTCGTAAAAAAATATCCTATGATGACGACTAAAAGACAGATAAACTAAAAATTACGAGTTACTCACATAAATATACTGAGAAAAGCTCTACTAAGTAGTTTCGATTCACAGAGGTACTCTTCCTCATGAGCAGCCTGCGCGGTCGCCGCTATGTTCGGCAACCTATTCTACCAGCCTATGATTTTTAATGTAATAATTAAATATTGGCAAGGCTTATGGAACCGTTGTTTATTATAGTTTTACCATATTTTACAATTTATCGTAAATATTTTTTACGCCGTAGGTACGTCGTACGTCGATGACCTTGTGAGATAAATAGGTGGCTAATTATGTTTTAACAAACAATTTAACCGTACGATAAATTACTTCAATCGATAGTTTAGTAATACTAGAAATGGAGATTTTAAGTAAACAAGAACAAGACCATTCTCGTGAAGTAGCTACACATTTCGAGAATATTCTGTAATAAATTCTCCCATGAGCTTAGTTTGAAATTAATGCCCTCTGTCGTTGAAAGTAAGCATAGTAATTAGAAAAATGTCCTTTAATTTTTAATAAATTATATTATTTAGAAGTTTACTTATCGACATAAATAAGTAACGAAATGATTATATCTAACGGTCTTCCGCCACAGATAAGATAATGGCCCAGAACAAAACAAATATTTATGTTTATTGTTTGTTTTGCCTAATTCGTAAATTAACGTGTCATACTATTTAATTAGCATTAGCAATATATATATTTTATATTGCAATAATGATCAGTCGTGATCTCTTGAAGCTTCTGGTGTCGCAGGTGGATTTAGGCTACGATGACAGTTTGCCAACAAAAATCAAACATGTAAACAATAAAAAAGTTGTAGAAAATGTGATTAGGTTTCCATCAAACTAAGATATTCAGCCTATCCTATTCTGCCAAAATGTTGCCAGACCGTAAAAATACGCCAAAAGCCTTTGTTGCCATACTCAAATATTATTATGTTTTATCATTACGTTGAGAGCCTTTATGCGAATGTGAATCTGGGTATAGTAGATAATCTAGTTAGTTATCCATAGGCGGGGTTTTGCTAAAAGTCAACGGGGCCCAATCTTTTAGGTCTCTTATAATATATTAAATATATTTTCAACCTAACTTTCAGCTGTGTCCTTTTAAAATAATATTCTAGCTTATTTCTGAATATGATTTCAAAACATCATACATACTGATATTGATGTTTTTTTAATTCTTGAACTTTTTCAGTGAATTGTTAACTTTTTTTGTCCTAAAAATCTAATGATAATCTATAAAGACGAAGAAATGAGATTCTTTGACAGTTTCAATCGCTAAGTTATTAAATTCAATATAATTATATAGATGTAGCAGGGTGACGTGTATTGTTGGCT